AGAGATAGACACATACATATATAGAGAGAGATGGAAAAAAAAAAAAAAAAAAAAAAAGAACTCACACTCTGGATCCCTGCCTGGGTCGTGTCCCATCTGCCACCAAGGTCTGGCTTTCTGCCTCCAAAGGACCCCTTCCCTTGGGGACAGAGAAAGCCAGGCAGACATGTTAGAGAACAGCGACATCTCTTCCCTTTCTTCCCTCCCCACTGTCACCACCCCTTGAGACTGTGCTCACCATCACACGGCCCCTCACTGGCCCCTGTCTCCAGGCTGGACCCCACCACACCCACCAGAGGGATTCTTCTAGGCAGTAATTGGGCTCTAAAACTACTATCTCCAGACCAATGCAAATTGGCCTGAAGGGAGTCCAGTCTGTAGGAGCTGCTGGTCCAGTGGAAGAGACAGTCGCGCAGAGGACTCCCTTAGTAAAGAGGAGAGAAGTAGCATGGGAAGCTCAGGGAGTGCAGCCCGGAGGAGGGGACCCTTGGGGTGGGTCTTGTGAGAATTATCAGGCAAAGAATGCCGGGAAGGGCATTCCAGGAGGAGGGAATAGCATGAGCCGTGGCTGCAGAGTGGAGCTGGTGGCCTGGACCGCTTGAGGCAGTGCTACGCTTTCGGGGAGTAAATCTGTGGTTCCCACACTTTGGGCTGCCTCAGTATCTCCTGGGGAGTTTGTGAAATGCAGATTCCTGGGCCCAGTTCCTGGGCCAGTCAGAGGAATCTGCAACTCTCAAAGCGAGAAGGGGGTGGATAGGAGGAGTTCCCACAGCCTCGTTCCACCGTTCCGATGCAGGTGGCCCCTGGACCATGCTTGGAGAAACGCAAGCAGGACTGAGGTGGCTTTGGCCGGGGCACTGTGGAGAGGTCTGGGGTGGAGGCAGAGGCGGCGTGCGCTGTAGGAAGAGCGGCAGGAGCTTGGCCCTCTCGGACGAGCCTGGACCCTCTTGCCCATCCCCCGTCCCTACTGCCACGTTTTCTCCTCTTTTCATCATTCTCTGGTCCTCTCATCACCACTCATAGGCTGAACGTGAATTTATTACCTATTTCACTCAACTATGAGGCTGCATGAGGAGAAGGATTTTGTCCATCTTGTTCACTGCAGGACCTCGGTGTCCGTAACTTGGAAGGCGATTGAGGGAGCTCATGTTCTGTTTGCGTTTTGTTTTTTTAGGGTGGAAGAGATCTGAGTGTGCTCAGAGGCTGGCGGGAAAAGGGGCGAGTAAGCCGTGGTGTGGACAAAAGACAGACAGAGGGAGCCAAGCAGACCCCTCAGAGAACAGCCACATCTCTTCCCTTTAAAGCGGCAGGGAGGGAGGAGGTGCAGGGTGGAGAGAGGTTACCTGCGGTAGGTGTCAGGAAGGCCCCAGTGGCTTCCTTTTCTCCATGAAGTGGCAGGTAAGGGGCTTCCTGGGAAGAGAAGGGAGAAGAGGAGAGGGTGGAGACTTGTGATTTGTGTTGGGCCCGGAGCCATTCTTGAGCAGGGGGAGAGGAAAGCATTTCTGAGACTGACATGTTGGTCACAACCCTCTTCTGTTCAGAATCTCCCAGGGTTCCCTACCCTCAGGAGGGGGCCATGTCTTGGGCTCGAGAGGCTTAAAACCAGCCTCCCATCCCGGTGTCCCCGGCTGGGCCATGTACTGCTTCCTGCCACCATTATAACTAGACCACAGATCTGGAGCTGCCTCCTCCAGGAAGTCTGCCCAGATCCAGTGCCCATCTGACTGAGCTCCCGTAGCACCTAGCCTGCCCCTTCTGTGAGACTTGGCTCCTCTCGCCTCTTATCACAGATACCTGTTCTCTAATCTGCCTCCCTGTGGACTCTGAGGGCAAGGTGGAGGCTGATTCAGCTCAGAGGCGATAGCAGGTGCCAGCCACTAATGTGCTGGGCTGGGCCGGGCCTGGGCGATGGGCAGGCTGTGGACTCCAATGACCGGCACCTGGCGTCCTCTGCTGGCCCAGCTGGGCACAGCTGCTGGTCTGGAGTGGCAGGAAGCTTCCTGGGAGAGGCCAGGTTCTCTGGGCCCAGCCCTCTCTCCCTATTCCTTCCTTCCTTCCTCCCTTCCTGAAACTTCACTGCATCCTCCGAATCCTGGCCCAGCACCAGCAACCCCCTGCTTTTCAACAGCCTCTGGCAGCGTTTCCTGCCCTTTCCGGCCCTGACTAGAAGACCCCTGTCCCCCAAGGACACTGCGGCCGTCCCTGCAGCCCTGCCCCAGGAGGGGCGGGGTCTCTTTGCTCTCAAGGCCCCGCTCTCTGGACCCTCGTCCTTCTCTCCTCCATCAACTTAGTTCTGCGCTGCACAGCAATGTTTCAGGCGACGACAGACTGCACACGTGACAGTGGACTCAAGATTACAGTGGAGCTGAGAAACTCCTGTCACCTCGCCTAGGGACGTCTTAGCCATTGTAACGTTGTAGCACAGTTACATTAAAAAAAAAAAAAAAATTAGCGTAGCCTAAATGTACAGTTTTACTGTTGTTGCTGTTGTTTTCAGAGATGGAGTCTTGCTCTGTCACCCAGGCTGGAGTGCAATGGCAAAATCTTGGCTCACTGCAGCCTCCGCCTCCCGGGTTCAAGTGATTCTCCTGCCTCAGCCTCCCAAGTAGCTGGGATTACAGGCACCCACCACCACACCTGGCTAATTTTTGTATTTTTAGTAGAGATGGTGTTTCCTCATGTTGACCAGGCTGGTCTTGAACTCCTGACCTCATGATCCACCTGCCTCTGCCTCCCAAAGTGCTGGGATTACAGGTGTGAGCCACCATGCCCGGCCAATGTACAGTTTTTATAATTTATAGTCACAAACAGTAACGTCCTAGGTCTTCACATTCACTCCCCACCCACGCACTCACTCCCCACTCACTCACTCACCCATTCACCCTCCCACCCTCTCACCCACCCACTCACTCAGTCGCTTGCTCACCTACCTGCCCACTTGCACCCCCACCCACCCACCCGCCCACTTGCTCACTCACCCTCCCACTCGCTCACCCACCCACCCACTCACTACCCTCCCACTCAC